ATTCTGCCTTAGATTCGGCTCCCTCTTGTATTCCGTAGATCCGCAGATTGTTACGTCTGGATCGCAGTTCCAAGTCATCCAATTTGGTCATCATCGTTTTTTGTTCTCTCATTAGTTCTGTCAGGGTTTGATTGGCCTCGCGGCTCCACGTCTCCATTTCTTCCGTGCAGCTTCTAATTTCCCTTCTTGTTCTTTAAGTTCTGTAGTCATGCTCTTAAACTTCTGGTCGATGTCTTCTTTGAATTTAGACAGTTCGTGTCTCATTTGACCAGTAATTTCTTCTTTGAACGTCGTGAAGTCTGATTTCAATTCATTTTGGAGTGATTGAATTTGTTTGCTAATACAATCCAGTCCGTTTTGAAGCGCGGCCATATTAGCTTCAGGTGCTAGCTTGTCCTCGTTGTTCGGATGTTTTATGTCTTTACCTTCGGTGTCCGTAGTTTTTTTATTCTTTGCTTTTGTTGTCCCTCCGCTCATCTTCCAAAGTTGTTCTGTCTCACGCTTCAATTCGTGTTTTAGCGGAGTTTATCTACTTGGCTTACGGGAGCTCTGTACTTATGCGACCATACTGCTCTACCGCCACACCGGAAGCCCGAATACTTACTTTTCAATACCAAAGGTTCTGTGGACGACCTAAATTAAGACATCTATTCAGTTACCCACACTGTATCACCGTGGGTTCTAGCATTAGAAGGATAGGATGTCATCTAAAAATGTCACAGAGGTAATCTAAAATAGTGTTGTCTGAAGTCTAGGTATGTGTTCAGATATACTGTATGAGAATCCAGCAGGGTGAGTGCATAAGATTTGTCCTAGAAGAACATATACAGTACATACATGTCGTGTGACCTCTGTGTTCCAGCTTTAGACCTTTTCAGTGAATCGTGGCTCCTACATTCTGATTGCATGCTGTTTCGTTCAAACTTTGTTAAATTTCATCTGAAAATAAGGCGACTAAAAGCCACCTGTCAGTTAACCTATTGCCAAAAGGACCAAGGTCATCATGACCAGCTGCACTGATACACAGAAGGCAGATCTGTTAGTGGCTGTTCTTACATTTATGTTGAATCTAAAAAGCAACAATAAACTGTTCTTCTGTGAACTTTTCCATTAGGACTGACCTCTGTTGTCTGTACTGGAAAGCTATAAACTAACCAGACGCTACCGCTCCCGTGACATTTCAATCTCTGACATTTGAAGATAACGATTTTCTTTATTATATTCTTCAGACCATCCTGCGGTCAACAGTTAATGGTCAGGTGATGAGCAAATTTGGAGGCCTTCTCTCACCACAGCAGCAGTGATTCATCATCACATTTTTGGGTCCTTAAGGTCTATCGAGGTTATTTATAGGAAGCAGAAATACCTGTACCAAATTTTATGACAATCCATCCAGGGGTAACTGAGATATTTCTGAGAGGATTCAATGTGGTGGTTTTAAGAATCTGCCAGTCTATTTTCAGGACAAAACAACTTTAGGCCTGATTATTTATTTACAGTTAGTGGTAGACTGCACATCAGGAGCACTGGCGGCCTGATAGTTATTTTAGCCCTGCTGTGAACTGTCAGCTTGTTCAGTGACATTGTAGCAAGCAGTATTGAGTTGACAGACCTCTCAGGGGTGACAGATGTGTGGAGACTGTTTGCTCTTCTGTGTGAGCAAACACAGCCTCTTCGCAGCCTCTTTCTCTGTTACTCTCTCTGGGAAAGACAGTCAACATGCACCCACTATATAGATAGATGATCCATAAAACAAGAAAAAGTACATTTGGAGGAGAAATGCACCAGTCAGAGACCATGTCAGTCAAGAACACCTTAGCTACTAGCTAGTTAATTTGTTGTACAGCTGTTATACATTCATGGTTATAGACTCTCTTCACCCCTGTAAACTTATATGTTCATTTGCTATTGAAACATGAATTTCACTAAGCATTTCTGATCAACTGATATAGCATTAATATTATGAAAAGGAATTCTTTAGGTTAAGATGATTCTGTAGTGAATCTCCGAAAACCAGTGTTGAGTTTGTCGGGTGACAAAGAAATGCTTTACTGTAATCACATGACATTTATCAGTAACACAGTAATGTAACGCGTTACTGTACTAAATTCAGTTGCAGTTACAGTTATGTCATTACTTGCGTCACAAAGGTTCTTCAGTTATCTGAATGCCAGGCAGATCGGTGTTAAAATTATTTTTATTTTGACTCCACAAAAGGACAAGAATATGACGGCAAACTGCATCCAGGACAGAAACAACTGCATTATAATGCTAACAGAACCTCCACTCTTAACAGATACCTACATGCTAATGTAAAGCTGACCCGAGGCCAGCAGCCAAAGTATGAACTTCAGCAGGTAACACCAGCAGTGATGTGACACTCACTAAGATAGGGATTTGTGTGGAACTGTATCCACAGGTTCATATTCTTAACTGGTAATTATGTGACAATATGTTTCAGGCCATTTTATGGAGTAACAAGAAAGTAATGTAACAATAATGTAACAAATAAATAATAATTAAATACGTAACATACTGCATTGCATTTAGGAAAGGTAATAATCAATGTGATAGAACTTTTTAATCTAACACTGCTAATAACTGTAAAGAAGCCATAGGGTTAGATTATAAAATTGAGTGGCCTGGGATGATATCAAATTCCCAAGTTATTGTTTCAGTCGGCCCTGGGCTAACCATGCCGGAAGATCAAATCTTTTTTAAAAGGGAGACGTGATCTTATAAAATGAAAATACCAGAAAAATACTACAATATCCAGAATGTTAAATATGTATGTATGTTAAAGATTTAATATGTGTTCAATACTTAAGGGGCAAAAAAACAAAATCAAAACCTTTGTCAGCATTTTTTTTTCTTGCTTGTCCTCTAATCTTACCTGCAGGTAATCATTTTTACTAATTTTGCTAAGTTACTCACAACACAAGCCAATAACCTGTTCTTCATTTGTTTAATGACCAAAGAAAACAATGTTTCCAGAAGCTGTGCGGTACATTACAGCAACATCTCTACAGTATAGAGCAATGCATGGCTGGCACCAACAACATGATTAAAATCAAGGTTTTATTTACATTACTACCTCTGTTCAAAAGTTAGAATTAATCTCACTGCAGGCAGGATTCTTCAAAACCCTGAGATATTCTGAAATCATTTGTCTGTTTCACTACAATCATTTCTTTAAACAAAGCGGCTCACATGTACATCTAAAGCTGAACATATTTCATCTCACAAGACAGTTCAAGCTGAACCCAAGCAGAATATATTTTTAAACCAGACAGACATAAAAAGTGTCAATGTCATGAGAATGTGTGCAAAACATTGCTGTGCAAAGGAAAGAATTAAAAAAATAATACCATGAAAAGTTTTCCATCAGTTAACCTCAGATAAACAGAAAAAGTTTAAAATACAGGTCTTTACGCTTCTTTTTATATAGGATGGCTCAGTGTCTTCTGTCTCTACATAATCCAAGATTTCACGATGATTTCGTGACGTTGGAGCTCTGTGGGCTCTGTGCTGCAGAATTTCTTGTTTTTCTTGTCAGTGAAGACCCGCTGAAAACCTTTCATGCCTCTGCCTGCATGTTTGAAGCTGTCAAGGCTGCACAATGATGGTGTGGTATAAGTAATGAAAATTTTATTAATGACTTTTGCCTTAATGGCTATACATACATGTGGAGGATTATTAAAGAGCAATATGCAGCCATTAGGCAGAACTCGAACATGTTAAGACATTTTTTAACATATGCCGGAAAATGCTGAGGATTTTCTATGAGTCTGTTGTGGCCAGTGCGATCCTCTATGCTGTTGCATGCTCGGGGAGCAGGCTGAGGGTCGCAGATGCCAACAGACTCAATAAACTAATCCGTAAGGCCAGCAATGTTGTGGGGATGGAGCTGGACTCCCTCAAGGTGGTGTCGGAGAGGCGGATGCTGTCCAAGATAAAGACAATGTTGGATAACACCTCCCACCCACTCCATGACGTGCTGGTCAGTCACAGGAGCACGTTCAGTGAGAGACTGAGATTACCGAAAAGCACCACTGAACGACACAGGAAATCTTTCCTGCCTGTGGCCATCTCCCTGTACAACGCATCCACTTAACACACTGTTTGCTGCTACAGCTACACATGTTTCTTGTTCAGCTATTTATTTATGAGTGACTTATGTATGTATGTATGTATATATATATATATGTATATATTGTACTATTCTTAGTTAGTGTATTGTCTGTCTTGTCTTAATGTTGGTTTATAATGGAGCACTGTAACAAAAAATAATTTCCCCCAGGGATCAATAAAGTATTCTGATTCTGATTTTTTAGAGCAGTGCTCACGTAAATAAATGGCCTCACAATGCACTCCATGCCATACCCTTTTTTTCTGTTCTAATTAGTGGGTGACACTTTCTTTAGTTGGCTGCTTTTTGTACAATTTGAATTGCAAATGGAGGACTAATTACTTGCTGCTAAAACAGTGCAGCTCAAATTGTTTCAACAAAACTCAAAGTGCTTTTTTTTTAGCACGAGTACAAACATTTTGACACACGGCTGCAAGATGCATGTTCTGCTGTGTTCTACTCTATTCTTGCAAGTATGTAATTAGCATCTACTAATGACCAGTATAATGTAAGGTTACATTATCTATAGCTGCATTAAGGTGGCCATGTAGTTCAACCTATGTTAGAAAAATCTTCCTGCATGTTTTTTCCCCCTAATTAACAGCTTTACAGATTTATTAACTATGATAGGCTGCATTTCTATTGCCAGACAGTTGCTCTGTCATCAGCTTCTCCTTCAGAATGCACTCTCACAATGGAGCAGGTCGTCTCCGCCGTCTGTCTGACAAGATCGTGCAAGGGTGTTTTTTTTTTTTCTGAGAAGATGTAACAACTGATACCACTAACGAAAAAAGTAGATGCAGTGGGCGAAATGTGGATGTGTGCTTGTATTTGCCTGTGTGCATGCGTGCATGTTTCTATAGTGTTTGTGAATGCACAATTAAGTAAGGTGCGAATGTTTGTGCATGGGACACAAAAGCAAAGTAAACACTGTCTACACTTCACTGACTACAACCCCCGGTTTAGCCATCACACCACTCATCATACTGCCAGCAACGGAAACGATTCAGCTGGATTCAGTTGTTTTTAAACGAACAAAAAAGCACAGCTTTAACTTCTGTTGCCTCAAGAAACGATCTGATTCCCTTTTATTTTCACTTATAATACCATGGGCGTATGTAGTAGCCTGTAGTGAAGTGTATAAAATTGATGAATCTTTGTGTGAGTCATGTGGATCTGGATCCACATGACTCACAAACTCACAAAACTGAACAGAAGTGAGATAAACTCATAATTTTTAAACAAGCAGTTTGATATTTGAGGAGTTTTGCATATTTGCTGTCTTGCTTAGAGATTGATAAGAACCTTAACATGGCTGTATGATAAGAGAGCTGGTGAAAGCTGACAAATTTGGCGTTACAGTGGTCAGTGTACCGGTATGAGGCATTCAAGGCTGTTTGTTTAAACAGTGTTGTCAAATGTGTAATAACAAGTATACCTCGCTACGTGAAATTTGTGAGTCACCCCTCATTTCTTTATATTTTGCTCCCAAGGATTCAAGCATGAAAAAGCCACCTAACTCACTATTGTGTTAACACATAACAGATATTTTAGTAAAGAATCCATTTAAAATGTGTATATTTAGGCACTTTGCTAGTACCTGTAGCAAAAACAGATTGTTCTCATTTCTTTAGTTGAATCTATGAAGAATGCTAATGATAACACAGGTTCACAGGCATAAAATAGTCTTTTTTGCACCAACGAGGTAATTTCCAAAGAACTATTAGCTGAAAACCTGCCATATCTTGGCATAGTGTTTGGTGTGTTCTAAAAACTGTGAGTTAGGGCTAGTGGAGAAGAAAATAAAAAATTGCAGACCTGAAAAAAAGTAGAGTCCTATCATGTCCTAAGAAATGACCCGACAGAGGACCTTAAAGAGATGCATCTGAAGTTGACCCATCTACTGCTCACTGAAGCCTCATTAGAAATGGTCTGAGTGGAAGGGAAGCTGTCAAGAAACCATTACCAAAGTGTGTCTACAACCATCTGTAAAACATGGTGGAGATTTGGTGTGGTGCTACATTTCAGTCAGGGGTGTCGGGGATCTTGTCAAAATTGATGGAATTATTAACAAAGAAAAGTATTATCAGATATTAATCTGCTATAAAGTAACATCTGACTGAAAACAGCTTCATTTTTCATCATGACAATGATCCCAAACACACTGCCAATGCATTCAAAGCACACCTCGATAGAAAAACACACAATGAAATACCATCAGTCATGGATTGGCCTCCCCAGAGCCTGGACATCAACACCACTGAAACAGCACGAGATCATTTTGACAGAAAATGGAACAAAAGGCAGCGAACATCCAAAGAAGAGCTTTGAATGTCCTTTGAGAAGCCAGGAGAAGTATTCCTGAAGATTGCTTAAAGAAATTATAAGAACGCTCACCTTTTAAACATTTACACAGTGTCACAGTGTTCGCTGTTCTTCGGAGTGACGCATACTCAAAGTGTTAAATTATTCTCTTTTTCTCCAACGAAGACGTAAATGTCAACCACAGAAAAACTAGCAAAAAAACAAACAAAAATAAAACAAGCCAACTGCCATTTAGTCAAGAATGTTAAATTCAAATATACATTCAGTGTTGTTTCATTTCATATGATATCTATAATCATCATCTGTCCTCGGTCCAGTTTATTCTAGAGCTGCAGACCTCATCAGATCAAACAGGGATTAAATGTCCTGCCTGCAGCTTTCAGGCCAAACTCTCCTCTTTTGTCATCTGGTGTGTTCAGCTTTGTGTTATTCAGACCTGGTGTTTGGCAGACATGTGCCAGCATTGCCAGCCTTGGCAGTTGGAACAGGTAACATATTGTGCCAAATACTGTTAGTGCCCATCTGTTTTATGTGTCTGAGTTTCCTCACATCATTTCATTAGTTATATTCACTGATATAAATACATCCCGGCTGCCAAACAGTGTCTCTTTCAGATCAGTTGCTCTTTGAGGACGTTTACACACAATTAGTGTTATTTTTTTCACGGTTCACATTAGAAAACTGTCCGTATCCTTCTTATGTTAAATGATCGGGATCAGTTCACCGCGTTATTATTGTTGCCTTCCTCCGCAGCAACAAACTTAATCTCAGCATTGGCAGTCCTGGAAGCCATGCTGCTGTCTCTGACCTTGTGCTTGAACAGGAAGGGAAAAGTTTTCCTGAAAGACTTTTGGAAACTAGCTCCCATAAAGCCATAAACTATGGGGTTGACAGAGGAGTTGGCGTAGGACATGCAGTTGGCCCACGTCTTGATCTTGTATGTGGCGTAGTTAGGCTGGTAGTTAGGATAGAAAGACTGGAAGAGGACAAAGATCTGGATGGGCCCCCAGCAGATGGCAAAGAGAAGCACAATCACTACCACCATCTTGGAAACTTTGCTCCGGATGCTGATTGTTCTCTCAGACAGGAGATTCACCTGAAGAGACAAAACAAGGAACCCTCTTTGTAATGTTTTTGACAATATTTAGAATATGTAACAGTGTTACCAGAGTGATAACAGTCAATCAAAACAGAAAGTTATCAAAAGAAGGAACTAAAGGACACAGAAACGCTCCTTCGGGTAGCTACAGAATCTCTTATTCGAGTAAATAAGAATGTAATGTCCTCGGGACCAAGAAGAACCATCAGTGGTTTCCAGGTGATTGCACTTTTTTGCACTTGGTGACTCGGTGAGTAAGTGAGGTTGAGCATGCAACACACAAAGTACTGGGCAACCACTACTCTGAGGTTTGTTCCTGTTAAAAGGGAGTTTGTCATTCCCACTGTCGCCAAGTACTTGCTCATAGGGGATCAGTTAAAATTAAACTGAATCATTGTAATTGGAGACTCAACTTATTCGGTTGCCAGTTTGTTGTATCCTGGTTATGCTCGATTCATTCTAAAGACAAAACTGACCAGCAGCAACTACATCAATGTTTCTGTGGACATTTCTTCATTTCTGTTTCAAATCTGTGACGTTCTGGCTGGACACTGAATATAAGCAGTGAATGAGATTTTTTCTCTTTATTGTGATTTTCTGTCTACATAGACTGCATCAGATTTGCAACAGAGTTCCACAGGTTAGCGGTTTTCACAGATTTCACAGAGTTAATTGGTGTATTATCGCAGATAGATTGCATGTAATTGCCAGCTTGACCCCTTTCAGTGTCTTAGTAAGTCAGTTCTATCTTGTTGTGGTTTTATTTCATGTATTCATGCACCAAAGTTGCTTTAGAGACAGCAACTGACTAAGAGTGGTTGCAGACCTTTGTCGTGCTGGGTCACCAACCACTACTTTTCCTAGTGTGACTATATTAAAGACTTTATTTCCCCTTGAGGTTGTCAATGCATTGCAACCTATTTATCCATTGATATTAGAGGATATTTGTTTCACTCTCTTTACTATATTGGTGTAAATTATTGATCAGGGCATTAGTGCTTTAAAAAAATCCCTACCACACTGAGTGGGAATGTTTGGCAACATAATTGCCCATAATTGTTTTCTACTTTATCCTGTCGCACTTTCAATATAACACCTGTAGTGATGAACATTACTCCCACTCTGTCCACAGCAGGTCTACCTGCTCATGTTCCCAAAATGTAGTGAAGTGTAAGATCTCTTTGTGTTGACACAAAGGCAATAATTTGTCTTCCTGTAACACTCGTGTGCAGAAGTTGGCAGGTATAATGCAGTTGCTCTTTTTTATGAATAGGTTCCACATTGAAAAAGAAAGCCACAATAAAAAATTATAAAATGAAGAAAATTATAAAATAAAGAGTTGACTGCAGCCACTTTAAAGAAGTTTTAAAACACATTTTCAAAGACGGGGACATGAAGAGAAGAGAGGAGAAGAGAAGAGAGATTTTAAACTTTTAATTGGCTGAAAATTAGCAGCAGCTGGTGACAATAATATCTCTGTGCATTAGTGGCTGTGTTTGTGAGGCACTTGTGAAGCCCAGGCCGATATAACGCCTGCCCTTACCTGATAATTATTGTCTACAGGTTCTACAGTGGGCTGGCCAACCCTCTTAACCATCAGAGTGTAGCAGAAAGAGATAGTGAGCACAGGCAGCAGGTAGGCAGCAATGAACTGGTACAGGATGAAAGCCCTCTCATGCGTCTTAGAGGGAAATCTCTCCATGCAGTATTGCCTCGGGCCGTACCAGTAGCCCTCCTCTATACGCTGGTACATTAAAATTGGTGTAGAGAGGATGAAAGAACCTGAAGAGGAGAAACATGGTTAGGTGAAATGATGGCATTTTAAATTTTTAACGAGTCAGTCGATAATGACACGACGTACCGATCCAAATGCAAATGCTGACAATCATGGCTACTTTGGGGGTTCGGTGCCGAAGAGATTTCAGGGGGTAGACTGTCACGTAACAGCGGTCTCCACTCATGGCAGTCAGGGTGATGCAGGTGGCTTGCACCGTCACCTAACAAATGAAGACGATGCTCATTTCATTTACATGTAAACTCAAAGTGCTTAACATAAATGACAAATACATGAAAAGATAATAGAATTAAAGATAAATTATGAAGCTGTCTTATTCAAATTAGTTTGTGTGAGCAAAAACGGTTCTTCTCCAAATAGAAAAAAACTTTTCTTCCTTTTGGAGAAGAAAAGTGATCGTGCAGAGATTATTTTTATTATTTTATGAAATAATCAAATATTACTCAGAGGATGGGCTAATCTGGGGTCACCTGACCATGAAACAGCTTGTGAGTCAATTTTCCAATTAATTTTGACTCACTGAAAATGGGGGCTATGAATACAAAGGGATGTATATCTTAAACTGTTAATACTTTTGTTAAATCCCTTGAATGAAAGCTGAAAGTCTGCACTTCAGCTGTGGTGTATAGATGTGAAATTACAAAATGTGTCATTGTCCAAATAATAATGGACGTGATTCTAGGTACATAAGCTGTTGTGCTTTAGGAAAGGAGAAGAAATATTATTTATGACTCTCAGATGTTTAACAATACAGCTGTGAACCAAGAAAATTGAAAAGCAGAAATATATTAAATAAAGTCTATTTAGCTTGGCTAACAAAAATAATAGCTTTAGACAGCTGAGTCCTCATTCTGCTCCATCTGTGCTTTATAATGTTACATCACCCACAAGAAAGAAGAAAAACAACTAAATAGTGAGTAAGCATACAAAGGGAAAACAGGCTAGCAAACAAAACTGGGATAAATGACTGAAAAATAAATTCAAATGTAATCTTTCTAGTCTACTTTCAGAGAAGATATCCCCACAAGCACCACAGATAAATCCATAACACAGCTATGTGTTCAGTGGAAAGACTCAAATTTAAAACTAGCTTAAAATTAAAAGAAATGATCATGTTTGGCATTATTTCATATTGCACATTTGTGGAAAAGTTGCAGAAATATGTAGAGCGTATTCCAAAAGAGTATCCCTTGATGTAAGTTAGGCAGTGGTGGTGTCTCAAAGAAAGATGCCATTGTCTGGTTGGTCAAACTGAATAGGAGGAGAAGAAATTGGCTTAACACTGGATCCGTAAACCAAACAGAGACATTAAAATGCCAACGCACCTGAAATATATTCATTTTAAACAGTCAAACATACACATTGCCACGGCCTCAAGGACCTCTAGGATGTTGTTGTTGTTTTTTGCTGTTTCACTCTTTCTCGCCAGGGTGGAGTCAGACTATGCTCCCCACCTCTGTCCTCGCCTACTCAGCTCTACTCACCTGTCACCCATCTGCTGTGATCACTCACCTGCCAATCATCACAGATTATTACCCTCAGTGGAGTCTGCTTCCTTGCTGAATCATTGTGCTAACTTGTGTCAGTGTAGACCCTGCTTGGCTAGTGAGTTCCTTGTGTTTCCTAGTGCTTCTCCCTAATCTGTTCTTTTTGTGCAGACTTCCCTATCCCTACCTGCTTCTCCTGCCCTGTGGACCCTGAGTGGGTGTGAGTGAACTTTCTTGGATTGGATTTGGAGGTTTTGTGACTCATGGACTGTGTGAAGAGGAGTGTGAAGGTTTACCTGCCCTGGACATTCTCCCCTTAGATTCCCTGGAGCCGCCTTCCCCTGTTGCTGTATATATTTCACCTGGTGTGCATCTGTAAATAAACCCCTTTCACTTTTCATCAGTTTTGAGTCCTGCACCTAACTAACTTTGACACAAATGTGTTTCTTACAAGAGCTCTTACAGTTTGCTGACAAGCTATTAGAGGAAGCGCTTTTCTTATAGTGTCTTGCAAACTTGTTTTTTTTGTTTTGTTTTGTTTTTTGGCTTTATATTTTAATCGCTGCTCTCTAGAAAGCAGACGTTCAAGCAGCTTTTTTGTCCTTTATTTCAGACTCCCTCTCCAGTTTTTACTAATGGGCTTGCATGCTTTTAAGCTGCAGATCATTCAGAATGGTAAAGAGCGAGGGATAGAACCGGAGAGGACGCGTACAGAGGAAGTGCAGAGGTGGCAGCATTTGTGATGAGTGTTTTTCATTAGCATATGAAGCAATCATCCAACTTCATTTTTAATGGAGTTCAATGATGCTTGATTCAATTAAACTTGAGCTAATCAGAAGAATTGTAATTGAAGACCAAATATAGAATTTTACTCTTACATTAAAGTTTGACAAGCTTTTCCATCTTACACAAAATTTTAAATGACTGCATTTAATCATTACTTATTATTAACCTCTGGCTCTCATCCTCAGTGTGCTTATTATCCTGTCTTCCTCCCCTCACTAACAACCAGTTGCAGCAGATGGCTGCACCTCCCTGAGCCTGGTCCCGTCGTAGGCTTCTTCCTGTTAAAAGGGAGTTTTTCCTTCCCACTGTTACCAAGTGCTTGCTCACAGGGGGGCATTAGTATTTGATTTCTTTGGGGGGAGGTTCTCTGTGTAATTGACGTTCTTGCGATATAAAGCACATTGAGAAATGAAGTGAATTGAATCGAATCAATATTTCCACTAGGACTTATAGTGGTGTTCTAGAGTAAAAAAAAAAAAAAGAAGTCTCAAACAGATGCTTTTCTTGTTTCATATACAACTGTGCATTGATGTTCAATGGAGCAGGATGACACAGAAAGCAAGCCTAACACTTTCTACCGTCTTTGTTCCTTTTGGATACATCACCTCTGTGGGTCTTAGTGGGTTGTATGTAGGCAAACTAATCCATTTTTGTTTTGAAATATGTGGAGCAGGGTGAAAAATGAGGGGTCTGAAGTTGCGTCTATGCTCTTTTACAAATAGGATCTAATTTTGTCCCTCTTTTGTCTATGTGTCTGCCTGTTTCTCTCGCCACCTCTCATCTGCGACTACGAAGCCAGCTCACATTACCCTCCAGAGGTTTTGTGCACCAGGACCACAGGATTTCAAAAGATATGGTGAGAGAGAGAGAAAGGGGTCATCATAAGTTCAGTGTTGAGGCGGCTGAGGAAATGGATACCATTTTTCCTATGTTTTGTTTTTTAAGATGTCTGGTATATTAGTAGCTCATAATTTCTATTCTACTGTAGTTTTATTTCTTTTTAATGACGGAAGAAAATGAGGGAGGAATAAATAATAAGAATCTGTTTTCTTTAAGCTTCCTAATCTTTTTTTATTTATTCAGTTTAAACATGGTAATTAAAATCATAGGGCTACACGGGGGATATTCTCCTAACATTCAGCCATAAGCTTCAGATAAAGCTGTTTACATCAGTGTCTTAAAGTATTTGAGATCTGCAGTCTAATATTTATATATAAGATACACTTAAAGGGACAGTTTACTTTTATTCATCTGAAAAAAATCATCAATACCAGTCCATTTTGTGATTTTAGCTTCTCAAATATCCATCTGTCCATCAGCTGGGTCCTGTGCAAAATAGAAATAGACCAAGAGGCAGTTCCACGCCCTTGAGAGCTCACCAGTTCATCTCAGGGTTCTCAAGCACACACTCTCATATCCACACCTCAGTCAGTTTAGAAACACCCAGAAGTTAATGTGCATGCCTTTGGGCTGTGGGAGGAAACCAGCTTACCCAGAGGGAAACCCCTGCAGACAAATGGGGAATCCCACAGAGAAACGCCCAGCCAACAAGGAGGTTTGAACCCAAGTGCTAACCACTGCACCGCTGTACCTCCCAACAGCAGTTTTCAGTATTTTTTTAATCTCCTCCAGATTTAAAACGCATAAAACTTCTGAAGATCACATACAGCTTGGACTTTAAAAGGTTTGAAAATTTTCATTAATACATGATTCAAGAAAATAACAGGCAGATTAAATGTTGACTAAAGTCTGTGAAGAGCTAAAAGTTTCCTGCAGAGATCTTTGATTTAACGTAATCAATGCTCCTCTCAGACTAATCTTCAGCCTGGTAATAACTGGACATGAAAATACATCTGCTAATTAGACTGGAAAGATGAAGGAGCAGTATCCCACCCTAGCAATGTAATCTTGCTTCCTTAATTTAGTTTCAAACAGCACAACAGGGCAGGAACCTTTGATGAAGTGTGATGGTATTTTTACACAAACTTTCTCCTAAGTGGGCAATAACACATCTAATTTGTGGTTTGAAATTGGTGAATGTGAGTGTGAATGGTTGTCTGTAACTCCATCTTAGCCCTTTGTGAGACTGGTGGCCTGTCCAGTGTGTACGCTGCCTATCACCTTATGGCAGCTGGGATCAGCTCCAGGCTCCTGAATTGGATAAGCGAAAGAAAATGGATGGCCGGTTGGATGGAATTGGTATTGACCAGTAATCCTATAAAGCCCTTAGACATTCCCTGCTATTCTACAATATAACTGTACTATCCGACAAGCAGTAGTTGGGTAATCTGTCATCACGATCCTTTAACAGAGGCTGGATGTAAACACAGCAGGAATGCATCACCCACTGTTACCCATCAACTGTTTTTTTCATTAAACTGTGGAAATTTTAAGACACTAATAACACTAACAGCTCTTATTTCTTGGAGAAATTTGAGAGATTAAAGCAAAGAGAGTGGCCACTTCTCTTATCTCGTCACCTAATTACCTTTCTCCCTTGTATGCAATAATAAATGATGGTAGGCTAGCATAATAGAAACTGACTTGAAGGTTTGAGATGAGAAAATGGTTGTCTGATAAGAGAGGAAAACGAGACAGACAGTCTTGTTTGACAGACGCTTTCTGCTTTCAGAATGAAAAGCTTGGTCTTAGTCATCAAGACACGCTCACAGACCACGTAGTCTGATTGCTCACATCCATTAATCAAATCATGCCTATGTTTTTCTTGAGGTTTTTTTTTTTTTGAGGCTGACATCTAAAAATTTTAAAGTGTTTCTTTTTTAAGTTTGACAGAATATCCCCTGCATGTCGAATGAGATGAAATTTAATCAAATTGCC